GTAGACAGTGCCAGTGAGAATGCGCTGAGCATGGTGAGCGTGTTCTTTATACCGCCGTGGAGCCGAGCAATCCTATTGGCTAGGACTTCGATCCGCATTCAGCTTGGTTGATGGGCAGATGACCTTTGACCTCACTTCCTTGTGTTTCGTGGCCTCTGTCTGCTTGCTTTTGCGAGTGAGTCTGCTATCAGTTCTGGTTGTCTAGCCACACGTTCCACCGCATTCAATCGATCGAGTTGGCGGTCGTTCATTGGTAGTGTGGCGTACACTGCGTCCAGTTCGAGGTATCGATTGACTGAATTGGTTTTACAGTACCAGGCTTCCAAAAACTCCCTCGCGTGTTTTGTACTTCCATGTGCTAGGATCTTGATATTTTCCAGATCGAAATGGTGGCCCTCTTGATCTTCATGCGCAACCAATGAGTGTGGATCATGCCTTCTGACGGCCGCCTTGTGCTCGGTGATTCGTGTACAAAGTTTTCTTCTAGTTTGTCCGACGTAGTTTTTATCGCAGTCGCTGCACTGTATCTGGTAGATGACATCGCGTTGGTCGGTTTGATTGACTTTTCCTTTGGGTCTTAAGATCAATTTCCTTAGGGTGGCACTTGGCTTGTGAGCCATAGAGATTCCATATGACTGCAGCAATGTTCCTGTTAGTTCGGAAACTTTCTTGATTTAGGGAAGCACTATCTGTTTGTTTGCATGATCAGATGACCACTGCTGCTGTTGCTGAGGCATTCGCTTCTCCAAGCTTTTTCTGATGAAATTTATGGGATAACCGTTGCTTCTAAACACTCTATATAAGTGATTTGCTTCCTGTTTCCGTGATTCGGCTGTGCGTTTCCGCTCTTTTGAACAGGGTTTGAATGCAGCTCTTCTTGTGACTCATCGGATGGTTGCTGTGGTAGTTTAATATCTGTTCCTTATGCGTTTTCTTCCGATATACGATACAGTTTGGACAAGCTTTCATTTCTGCAGAGGGTGGTGGGCTTATAAAATGGTTATTCGCAATTTGAAGCAAGTCACATGCAAAATCCACCCAGGAATTGATTGCAAACTACTGCCCCCAACTTCCCCTCTAACACCATACACTAGTGACGAGCGGTACCATAGATCATGTGACATCGCGTTAAGGATATTTTAGGCAGCGAATCAAAAGCGCTTATACATTATGGTCACCACAACTGACCAATAGTAGAGCTGGTTGCGCTTGAGATCGCTCAAATGAGACGAGTTAGTGAGGACGTCAAAATCGTGGTAAAACAATTTCGTTTCTTGTTTTGCTAATTTCTTAAGCGGTCCGCTAATATAGAGACTTAGGACTATGGACAAATTTGATATTGCAAAGTTATACCGTCGGTAATATACGGTACTCGATGTAGAATTCAGTTGGAACACATCAATCGTCATTATTACACCTTGGCCAAGTGTGAGAAACACATCTCGCCTAATGTACCGCAATACAAAAATATTAAGCAATGTAAGCTTAAAAGCTATAAAAAGGTAACTTACTGCAAATAACAAATTGTCATGGTTGTTAGAGGGGGAAGCTAAAGGGAAGAGGAGGGTCAAAGAGACACAACACAAACCCACTGAGGTCACCATGTCAGCAAGTGTATACAACCAAACGTGTTCATCATCTATCGTCCCCAGCTAGGCCGTCGGGAAACATCATCATCATCATTACACGTTAGCTGGAGGTGGAAAACACCTCAGCTATTGTGCCGCAATACAAAAGAAAAGAAAAACAAACAGTAGCACGACCGCTGAGTCCCCAGTAACGGATGGACATCGTTCCAGAGAGCTAACAACTGGCTGCCGTAAAAGAGAGTCGTATCATGCCTAACAAGTGAGATCGTGATTGGAGGGGATGCTAAAGAGGAGGGTGATGGACAAAGAAATTCACAACACAAACGCCCTTGGGGCCTTTTCTTCGCCATGTCAGCAAGTGTGTCCACCCAAACGTTTTCACCGTCCTTAAGACCCCAGCCAGGCAGTCGGGATACACCAACCGACGCCAACTTCGAAGTGAGGGTTTTCATCTCTCTCGAGCAAGTCATCACTTGGCCTCCCCTTCTCCTCTTCCAACCGCACCCACAACGCGCAAACAATGCACGTCGCGGGAGTCGGTGTGTTGGCATGCGCAACACGTGTCCCAGCCATCGGAGCCTGGTGCGTGATATAATGGTGTTGAGCTGTTCACTCGTTCTTCCTGCACCAAATACGCGACGTCGAACACACTCATTGCTCACGCGGTGTTCCCACCAGACATGAGCTAAGCTGCGAAGGCAGCGATGATCGAAGGATACGAGCCTCTTCATGTCTGTGGACCTGATGGGCCAGGTTTCACAGCCATATAGGAGAGTTGAACGGACGGCTGCGTTCTAAACTCTGCCCTTCAGGGCGAGAGTAATGTCGCGTCTGCGCCACAGGTGGCGGAGATTGGCAAAAGCACCTCGAGCTTCTGTCATACGGTTTGTAACCTCATCCTCAATCCCACGGGTGCTAATATAGCTGCCCAGGTACTTGAATTCCTGAACGACTTCTAGCAGATCACCACCAAGTGTTAGTGGAGGGTTGGGTCCCTGCCAATCTTGGAGAAGTACTTTGCATTTCGATGGAGCAAAGCATAGCCCAAAACGATTGACAGCCAGCGCTAATCGGTCCAGTGCTGTTCGGCATGTTTAGGAGCTGTCACCGATTAAAGTAATATCGTCCGCATACTCCAAGTCAAGAAGTCGAGAAACACCAACCGACGCCAAGATTGAAGTGAGGGACTTCATTCCTCTAGACCAAGTCATCGCTTGGCCTCCCTTGCTCTTCATCTATCCACACTCCTGGGCGAGAAAACAACGCCCATCGAGCAGCCGGTGGGTTGGCAAGCGCAACACGTGGTTCGGCCATCGGAGCCTGGAGAGTGATATAACGGTGCTGAGCGGTTTACTCACTCTTCCTGCGGCAAATACGCGACGCCGAACACGCTCATTATTACTCATCCAATGCTCCCACCAGACGCGATGTAAACTATGAAGGCAGCGATGGTCAAACGTAACTAGCCTCTTTATGTCTGTCGCCTTGATGGGTCTGGTTTCTCAACCGTACAGGAGAGTTGTACGGACGGCTGCAATGTAAACTCTGCCGTTCAGAGCCAGCGTAACACCATGCTGGCGTCATAGGTGGCGGAGATTAGCAAAAGCACAACGAGATTTTGCAATACAGTTCATGATCTCATCCGTGCCACTGGCGCTGATATAGCTGTCCAAATATTTGAATTTCCCGACGACTTCTAAATTATCAGACTGCGGACCAATAGTTGAACGCGGTATTTAGATCCATACGGGGTGTATCACAACGGAAAACAATAAAGTCGTTGCAGGACCCGCTCTTCCAATGCAATAACTGAGTTGAAGTGCAGATTCAAAAAAGCAGACTATCACAGCTCTGTTTTTATTATAGCGAATAATACAAGACTGAACGGCGGAAGATGAGACACAATCTGAAATGGGAAAATGATGGTCTGTATGAAAGAGTCCATGAAGGGATATCAGCATCTCCAGGGAAGAAATCATCTACCGCTTCCGCTGCATGGAGCGAGCAGCTCGAGAAAATCAAAAGATGCCTAATGAAGAGCCTAAATACAAATGATGGATCAAATGTCACCAGAAGAACAAGGGGAACCGGATGATGGACAGATTTTCTCGAGGTGAACTATTTCGGGGTGGGGATGTAGCCAAAGTGGGCCTTCAGTTGCTCCAGAAACACAAACGTGAGGACCGTGTGAGGAGCCAGACGTATGAATGCGGGAACAAGGCCTTTGAAGAATCCCAGCGGTCCTGTCACAGCAATGTCCATCCCACAACTCATAAGACCCTAAAAGGAATAGAGAACGTATACTACGATGATGGATTCATACGCGACGGTTGTCATTGGAAAAGCTCATGCCATAGAAGAAGGGAAAGAAGGAATGATTGGCAAGAGACAAGAACGTTAGACGTACCGAGTATTTTCCAGGTGGGGCGTTCATTAATCGTGTTTTCATGACGTCGAAAGGCTGTGTAATGCATGTAGCCACCCCAGCCTGGAAACATAAGGATACAACACAATTATCAGCGGTGGAAAGGAGAGAAGCGAATGCTGCTTAATGATGCCGCTAATTGACAGGAAACCTAACGAAAATACGTCGCTGTTCAAAAGTCAAAGGAACGAACTGGCCCACTTCGGGAGTGCTCTGATGAGACGGCTAAAATAACGACAGAAATATTACTTGTGATGGCGTGGAGGAAGAGGCAGTTATCACAGACCATAATCGACCCAAGGTGCATAAAGATGGAAATTGCCTGGTACGCTTAGATGATTAATGAAATAAAACTTTCTCAACGGTCAACCATGGTTTCATGGGTAAAAACAGCGCGAATAGCTAAATATTGTTGACCGACTGGTATCCATCGAGCAGTGGCGTGCCCCAAGGCACTGTACTGGGGCACATTTTGTTTCTGATCCATGTAAACGATGTGCCTCAGCTATTCCGCTCACCTTCGGCGTTATTTGTAGATGATTGGAAGGTGTGCAGAGTAAACCGTGCACCAATGACTGAGCTGCTTCAACAGGACCTCGATCGACTCTCCATGTGGTCTGCGGAGGTCAAGCTACTGATCAACCCGGTTAAGTCACAATTCATGAGGCTGGGTAAGTGTGAGCACAGTCAACCGTTGAATCCCGCGCCTGTCGTGCGAGAACTCGGAGTACTCTCAGGCCACGACCTAAAGTTCATGGACAACATGAATAGGATTTACCAAAACGGCCTTCATACGCTTTGGGTGCTCAGACGCAGCTTCACCACTTGGTGCGAACAGATTGCTACTGGCATCTTCGCCTCAATAATACGACCAATCTTAGAGTATGGCTATCCCGCGTATTACCCTATCACTCGGAGCGCAGCATGTGGCCATCAAGCTAATTCCCATTTTACGAGGTGTGCCGTAGGAAGACCAGGCTTTACACCATATCTTTCGTTGACTGGGGTTGATCTCATCATGATGCACCGGAAATTACATCTCGAAAAATACTCCATGTTGAGGCTACTGCGGCATCGACGCACACAAAGCAGCATACGAGGACTTAGGTAAAAACTTGTAGTACCGGATTTGAAGAGGGTCGCCCACCTACTCTGTTTCGACCGGAGAGTGGTGAATGTAAGAACAGCCTGACGTGGCACGTAGTTGAGGCAAAGTCGGTGACAGAATGTAAGAAATTCCTGGACAAACACTGCCGATATAAAAGACACCGAGCGCACTATAACATAACGGGTCTTTGTACCTGAGCGTTAGATGCAACTACGCAGAGATACCTTTTCTTGCTGCTTCTAACCAGTAATCAGGTCATTTGATGTGCTTACAACCCCTGCAATTAGTCGATTTCGACAGCCTCATGTGTCGGTCCAGCAGTACATATCGAGCTGTGCGCTGCTGATCATCATAAAGGGTTACCCACCGATTATAATCATAAGCTAAAGAATGGTTCAAATGACACGTGGTCGATCCATCGATCCGTGTCAGGAGTAAGACGCGACCATTTCGAGTAACTTTGCCACTACGATCAATGATGATTCGCAAGTAATAGGTGCAACCAATCACTGGGATACATAGAGTGAAAAACAGGATATATATATATATATATATATATATATATATATATCCATAGAACAATGTGTGGTACAAATATTGTGCCATCATAATCATGGAAGAAAAGGGAAACAGGATACGAATAGGAAGCAGCATTTTTTCAGTCGTTTTTCACTCACAGTTTTTGTGTTCCTGTTTGTGTTTTATTGGGGAAGGGAAATTACCGCAACGCGCAGAGACACACGTCCGCCATTGACATCGGTTCTGAGCCATGAGTACAACGGTCTCCAACCAGCGACGCTTTAACGTCGAAATCCCAAACAGGGAGTAGGAAAGAACCGACCGAGGGTAACTGTTTCGTCAGCTTCTTCATGTGGCTTCTCCATGCTGTGGGTTGTTCACCGTGCCGCCTCCTCCAGACCTGTCTAGCAACCGCAAACAACGCCCGACACGGAAGACGATGAGCGGACATACGCAGTACGTGTCCAAGCGACCATAGCTGATGCAGCGGAACCACCTCCTCAAGCGAGCGGCTGCCTCCACCCAAGGCACGCTGTCTAAGCTCCACATTGGATACGTGGTGCAGCCACCACACATGGGCAATGGATCGCAAGCAACGGTACACAAACACAGAGAGACGGCGCAAGTCAGCGGTGGGAACAAGCCAAGACTCGCAAGTGTGCAACAGTACAACGCGAACAGTCGCACAATAAACCCGCCGTTTGATGGATAGACGGATGGCTACACAAGTGCCTCAGCTTAGAGAAAGCGAGGCGTGCTCTTGAGATACGCATCGAAATCTCGTCTCCAACAGCTCCACCGGTTGTGATGAAACTTCCCAGGTAAGTAAAACTATCCGTAACCTCCAGTGTCACACCACCAAGAGTGCAGGTACAGACATACGAAAGTCTTGGGAAAGAGCTTAGCATTTGAATGGGGAAAAAGCCATTGTATAGTTTGATATTTCAATCGCCAAGCGGTTGAGTGCAACTTAGACGGTTTGTGGACCGTTACCCGGCAAGACAATATCATCAGCGTAGTCCAAGTCAACAACTCGGCTACCTGGGAGGAGTTCGACACCAGCGCTCAACGAATTATCCAGAGCATTTTTTAGGACATTCTCGATGGCAAAATTGAAAAGGAATCAGGAGATAGGGTATACTTGTCGAACTCCACTAGTGACAATAAAGGAAGACGAAAGCTTACCATAAGCCCTAACCCTATCCGAGGTCAGATTGTACATAGCGAGCAGTACGGAAACGAACTTTCAAGGGACGTTATTTCTCAACAAACAGTGCCACAATGCAGACCTGTCGACAGAATAGAAGGCAGTGCGAATATCCAAGAACACGACACTACTGAGTTCTTGGTACACATGGCGGAGCTCCATGATCTGGCTGTGTGAAGATTTGATCGATGAAGCCGGGGCCAGAGCGTAACCCAGACTGTTCTTCCCCTTGTAGCGATTCGTGCACTGGAAATGGCCTCTGAAGTATGATGGACACCAGATCCTTACAAAAGACGGGAACCAAGTTGATACTCCTGTAGTTGGAGCACATTTAGCGCAGGTCCTTTTTGAAGATGGGGAAGACTATCGACTCACCCGAAGATGGGGCAACCTCCACTTTTATCCAGTTTTCTGAGAACAAAGCAGTAAGTTTTCGAACCAGCGAATATCTGCCATCTTTAAATAGCGCGGATGGTAAACCATCAGGACCCAGTGCATTATAGCGCTGCAAGAAGCGCAGTTCCTGCCAGATTTCCTGGTGAGAGGGAGGATCTGTGGGGACAGACCACAGCACCAGTGAGTGCTCCAAGGGAAGCAGAGGGGCTGGTGGCCTGCAAAACTGCGAACCCGTGTCCAGCCCATAGTAGCAACCGCCGTTAAAGACTAGTGGACCATCCAATTCGCAAATCGTTTCGCTTACTCTAGAACGGAAACCTTCGATAGTTCGGATAAGATGAAAAAGTTTTCTGGTATTACAAGAAAGACTAGCAAGTTTTACCTCTCTAGCACGTTTACACCAGTCATACGGGTGTGAAGGACTGAACTGAAAGGCGAATGCGTGATCAGTGGGCCTGCATCCTCGATGCCGGCATTTTGAGAAAAGATGGACAAACAGCCCTCGAACGACACCATCTACACACTGAGATTGAAATGCCACGCCAACATGGCAGTCTCGTCCACCGTTACAGCAGTGCATGAGCGCACAGAATAACCTGCAGGAAGTCACTCACCAAAACATTCGCCACACTGATTGATCTTGGGACGATCGACGAATTTGACGTACGTAAATAAGCTAGACACAGCCATCGTTGAGCGTCTAGCTGGAATCAACAACAAAGAAAGCCTCGTGAAAAATATGGCGCACCGCGCTGTGTCTCGATGAACGAGAAGGCCGCGTTAGTCACATGCAGACTAACATCCAAAAACTACGGACCTTGTCGTAGGAAGTACGAAACGACGTGTTAGCGGTCGCGGTACTGGGCTACACCTTGAGCATCGTACATAATGTCGAAACTACTACCGGACATGTGGTGATCAAATGTAGTTAGGATGCTTTGCTGAACAAACCGAGTGGAGCTCTGCAACGAAATGAAGGTGAGTGCATTCCCACGAAGAACTTAAACACAGAGCCTAGAGTTTATTCGCTAGCGCAGTGGGGACCGAGATTGCATACCAGTGAGTGGCATTCCACAGCTAGCACATCTACAGGGAAAACATGCCCAATGCGGCATACAGCTGAGTATACTGCGTTGCCCACCTAAGCTGATGGCTTATCAGGTGGGTGTTATGAATGAACTGCGCGTGTGACAAAGATCTCCCGCATTCTTCAGGATATGGTAAGACCTCATGATGTAACAGATGCTCCCGACCTTGAGTACCCCTCGAAATCGCCGATATCCAAGGATTACATCCCGAGGAATTTTATAATGAGCTCATAGACAGGTGATGTAGGCTCTTGACATGCTTGGTTTCCCTTCGTTTCAGAGTTTAGGGAGCAGCGAGACCTTGTTTCCGTCGGGGATACCACACCGGGATAATATATTCCACGCGAGATTGCAGACTGGTGATGACCACAGAGAGTACAACAAAAGCGCAGACAAACGTGATCAATCGCACACGGAGGAGGACCGTTAGTTTATGCCGTTCATCAGGCAACGGAAGGCAGCCGATCGAGCATAGTTTAACATGGCCCACTTATGATGGATACCAAAAGGACTGAATTTGGAAGTGAGTTCAGGGCTTACTTAACGGGAGGGAGAAGTAAGATCGTACACAGTCGAAACAACTACAATAGTGCCTTAGTTTACAGCAGTCCAGGATGAGCTTCCCAAGGCGTTCAGCACCCGGCAGAGGATGGATGAATGTAAACAGTCAAGTGCCCTCGGCAACAGGCCAACATACTGTTCGCTTGTTATTAAATCGGACTCCGATTGTCTGGCAAAACAAGGAATGGACAAAACGATATGATAGGTTTCTTATTCTCGGAATATCGAATCAATGTGGCACAACATGGTTTTCTACAGGTTTGGTCAGATGGTACTTTGCAATTGAAGTCCATTGTAAGCATACATTTCGATATGCGTGAGCTATTTCAGTGAGTTACACACTTTCGATTACGAAACGTTTCACAATTTGTTCGCATCTTGTAGTTGGTTGTATCTACGGACCTCCGCGAGCAAACCACCATGAAGTCTTGCCGCTACTGGATGCTATGAACACAGTTTCTAGCACTACCTCCAAAGTTGCAACCCACTCGTAACATTCACCGAATCGACCGTAATGCATTTGGGGCCCTGATTTGCACTATGAATGGGGAGCCATCGTTCTGAAGCTACAACTCGACTATGGCTACCGGTGAATCTGTGAACAATATTGCTGTGTGTTCCGATGTAATACAACCTGCGGTAAGGAGCGGCACCAATATATAATGCGACAAACATAAGCAACTGAACAAGACCAACAGCAAACGGAACAAACTTAAGGCATCTTATCACAGGGCCAACATGTTCCCCATGCAACCATATTTCATTAAGCCACATTAATGCTATGGCGGCTGAAGCAAAGTGCCAAAGTTGCCAACGAGAATCGATGGTGCAAATGTTTCTATATTGTAGCCAACATCCTCACTCCATTGCTAAAGAACAGCTCCTACCCAATAAACAATAACTCTGTTGCCTACGAAGTCCAGCAAAGAATACTCAGGAGCAAAGTTGTTCACTTTATGACAGCAATGAACTGATCAACCAATCATTGCATGGCTTTATTTCAAGCCGCTCCTACGTTACCTGTCAGCTACAGTTCTTTCACCATGTGTGATCCATGATTGATAGAGGAATGGCGGTAAGTATAATTGAGTGATTTGTCAAACACGAGGTTTACGTCAGATCTGCAATGGAAATAAGTGATCCTGGTTTGGCAGAAGCGCGTCACACAGCTGTGGAATGACACAGATATGGAATATTTCTTTGTTGGAGGATGCTGCCATGCAAACGAAACGAGTGTGGTCGTTTTGAACATCTACTTCGCTGATTTTTATGATGGGTAACTTGATTTTTTAACAGAACTAATGCTTTACATATGTTAGCATCCTTTTGAAAAGAAATATTCCATACCTGTGTCATTCTACAGCTACAGGCCGAAGGAACTGAAACGGCGCATCGTCATCGTATGTCGTGGGATCTCAGTGGACACTGCAGAAAGTGCTAGCCAATAGTCTGCGGCGAAACGACGGTGGTGATTTTGAACATATAGGTAGTTGATTTTTATGCTCTTGAGAACTGAGAACTGAGAACTGGTGGGAAGCAGCGAGTAGAGGTTGCTCTGTGTAGCTGTAAATATTCCTATAATGCATAACGACTGCTTACAGTGCCACATTGTTGCAATAAGTAATGATGCCAATAATTCGTCGGGGTAGAAGAAATGCTAAAAGAAAGCAAGACGGTTAGGTGAGAAAGATAAACAGTAGGAGTTATATGTACTTATCGATGTGTATCAGCCCGATTTACTCGCTTGTTCGGAAATGCGGTAGCCTCAGACCATCAAGCATGTTGCAGTACATCGATCTAACTATGCATTGTTTAGACAAGATCGCTCAATTGTCTGACAGTGCAGGCGTCCGACTTGATGTATACTGTAAACTTGACGTGGTTAGACGAAATCGTCTAAGCTTCGTAGGCTGTGTCAC